ACCACAAATATGTTTTCGTTAATATTAAGTTGTGGCTTCTGTGTGTATGCAGATATTTTTGGGCGTGAGGATTTTAAGTACTTCATATATATTAATATCACTGTACCCCTTTACCCAAGTAATACAAAATTTTGTATTTTATATAATTTTGTTATGGTATCACCAAAGTTATTGACTACTTTTACGTAGATTTATAAATGTATATATTTATATCTGTCTAAAATTACTGTTTTATTTTTTGGAAAGCCATTTTTGTTTTAATAATAGAGATAAAAATCAAGATTTGTTTCAAAGTTACAAACTAATATTTTCTAGACATAACGTGAACGCATAACTGTATTGGATCCAGAATTGGCAGATAATTGGCAATATCTTTTCATTAGATACCTGAACATCCTCGAACGGTTTAGAAATGTGAAAGTTATTCATGAAAATGATCGGCATTACTCCTACTATTCGGTTTAGAGCGCCTGTTACTATTTCCCGGGTGTGAACTAGTTAGCAGGAAATTTTCCGTTGCACATCATCATCACCTAAACCAAACTGTAAGTAAATTCACAGAAATCAACTGCTTTTTGAAAAATCATGTACATTTTTTTATTGAAAAAAAGAGGTATGTTCCAAAATAGAGATTATCAAAGCAAAATATGCAATAATGTGTTTTATTTAATTATTTTGAACTGAGATGAATAGTGAGTATATACACAATTATATTTTGACAAGTTTTCTTATATTTTTCCCATATAATTTGTTTATGTATTAAATTATGCAATTTCTATAAATTTTTTGATACTCCTTTCGGTTACCTTTCATTTGACACCAAAATCATCAAAAACGGTTAAGATTTGCCAATTTTACGAAGAATCGTTATTTTCTTAATTTTTGTTCAAATTTTGCAAAAATCATCGGTTAAGATTTTCCAGTTTCCCAAAACTCCTTTAATTTGACACCAAAATCATTTAAATCTGTTCAGATTTGACGGAATTACGAAAAATCTCAATTTTCCGAAACTCCTCTAAAATCCTTTTAGTTTGACACCAAAATCAGCAAAATCGGTTAAGATTTGTTGAAATTAATAAAAATTCCTATTTTCCTTTAATTTTCTTAAACTCCTTTCAATTCCCTTTAATTTGACACCAAAATCCTCCAAATCGGTTCAGATTTGCCGAAATTGCGAAAAATGCCTATTTTCCTTTAATTTTCTTAAACTCCTTTAAAATCCCTTTGATTTGACACCAAAATCATCAAAATCGGTTAAGATTTGCCGAAATTAGGAAGAATTCACTTCTGGCCACTCTAGCACGTTTGCTCAATTTTTCGGCAAACTCACAAACATCAAATTGTACCAGGCGACCATAAGTGCCAAGTAGGCAACTGCGGCAAAAAATAAATAATTTTTCGTTGCATACCTCAAAGGCGCGCACGCAACTACAGGAAATGGTGGATAATGCAGTACCGTTCGCATATTGCCCTATAACTTTGGTAAAACTCAGCCGATTTCAATGATTTTGGTGGCAAATGAAAGGTGATATCTTCTAGAAAAGATAGTTTTACGCACTTACTTTCATCTGCCACGTAAGCATGGCAATTAAGCTAGGAAGAAGCGATGCAAAAACATGCAATAAATATGAATGTGTTATAGATGAAATGTTGTCGTTAACAGAATATGCTTATGAAGCCTATTTCTAGTAATTGGTATCAGAAAGACCGTTTCATCTTATTTTCTAAGAAAAAAATTTACAGTTTTTCTCATGAAGTTACTACGATACATTTCATTCACAAAATATCTTCTATTTGTGGTTTGTTACCATTTGTTTGTATTTGATTGTGTAGCTGCACGCTTGCCCTTTCATTTGGTGCCTGAACGGTCGAAATTGGTGCAGAATTATGGAAGTTATTCGCGTAAACGTTGTAACATGCTTCACATCCGGCTGTCCTGCATGTGCTGGTAACGCAGTTCATAGTGCGCCTTTGAGGTAGGCTACAGAAAAAAATATTTTTTCGCGGCAGCTACCTACTGGGCGATTCTGGGTGCCTGGTGCAAATTGGCGATTTGGTGAAATGAAAAATTTGGTTTGCGCCGCCGTGTGGCTGGGGTGACCAGATTAGAATTTTTTCGTATTTTCCTCAAATCTTAACCGATTTTAATGATTTTGGTGTCAAATTAAAGGGTTTGAAGTGGAGTTTTGGAATATTGAAAGAAAATTGCTATTTTTCGTAGAATTGACAAATCTTAACCAATTTTGAAGATTTTGGTGTCAAATTGAAGGGATTTGAGAGGAGTTTTGGAAAATTGAAGGAAAATACGGATTTTTCATAATTCCGGCAAATCTTGACCGATTTTGATGATTTTATTGTCAAATCAACGGGGTTTGAGAATAGTTTTGGAAAACTTATAAAATTTAAAATTTTAAAGATTTTTTTCATAATTTCGGCAAACGTTAACTGATTTTAATGGTTTTGGTGTAAAATTGACGGGGTTGAAGAGGAGTTTTGGAAAATTGGAAGAAAACAACGGGTTTTCGTAGAATCGCCAAATCTTAACCGATTTTGATGATTTTGGTGTCAAATTGACGAGATTGAGTTTTGGAAAAATAGAAAATTGTATTTTTTTTCACAATTTCGTCAAACCTGAACCGATTTTTTTTCAGATGTTTTATATATATATACATACAGGTGTGTATGTAAGCGGCATCTTGAGTACTTAGGAGTGTTTTTTGTTTAATGGTTATACTTACACTAACTTCCATTCTTCTTGCAGAAACAGCAATTAAATAACATTCTTTTAATTAGTTGTAATTAAACTATTAAATATTTATTTAAGTAACTTTTAAGCATGTTAATGAAATGTACATGCTTTTCTTTTATAAATCGTTCGTTTTTATATAAATTAACTTAATATTAAATATGTTATAATATGACATTTAAACAGATGGTTTTTAGGTTTTTAGACATGCATTTGCTTAATGCTAAATTTCTAAGTTATACGAAGAATATAGTTATCGTTTAATTATATTTTTATCGTTTTAGTCATAAGTATTTCATATATAACCTTATTCATTATCTTTCATTTATTTTTATCAACTCAAAACTGCCATTTCTCACAATCATGGCATGGATGTGTTACATTATTATGTGTACATTTTAAAGTGATTTTTTTCTTATCACTACTGACTTATCCTAACTAAAATTAATTGCTGATGTATAAATATTTAAACATATATACTAAATAAATTCTTGTTTTTTTTTCAGAGTGATAATACTTTATCGAATCCATTCAATTAGCTTCCTTAATTAATTAATATAATTTTGCTTACAACCTAATCTAGTTAATCAATATTTTTAGTACAAGCTTTTAGTGAAGCAACAAACTATGAAACGTAATAGAAGTGAAGAGTATGAGTATTTAAAAATTAAGCTAAAGTTAGCTAAAATATCATGTATATATTATATATCATATATAGATATAATATAGTGTTTTTTCTTTCATTTATTACTGGATAGTTTTTGTCAAGCCATATTTCTTAGCTTTACAGTGATAGATGTGTTCTTGACGTATTTATGGTTACATACAAGCATGTTTAATAAATAAGGCTGATTTTTTTCTTCGGCACCGCTCGGTTTGTTTTTAGTAAATCTGTGAAAATCGGATATTTTGTTGTGTAGATATGTATAATATATTCGAACAACATTTAACAATTGCTTGCTGCCACCGATTTTTGACTTTATACCTTTTTAAGCTTCTGTCTGTATCTTCCTTGAGAAATTTCAATCAAGAATATGCTAGCAAATACTCCATCTTTCCCATAAACTAAATAACTTATTGTGTGTTTTTGATTTGGACAATAATTCCCTGCGGCAATGCTACCAAGTTTGGCTCCAATGCTGCCAAATGAATATAATTTTTACTCGGAAAATGAATAGTATTTAATTTGTTATTGATAAACCATAAATCTTCTGTAAAAATATAAATCAAAAGGAGCTCAAAGCATGGTAAAAATCAGTCGATAGGCCGGTACTTAAAATTTTTAGTTCAAATCGCCCTTTGTTTTATATTTATAAACAAATCTTTTGGTTTGTGATTTAATCTCGAATTTTTGAGTACCACCCTAACCTTACCTTCCCTTTGTGACTTATACTTTTGCATAAGGTTTATGGTTTATCAAAAATAAATTAAATTAGGTGCTCATAAGTTGGCTACAAACGAATAAATTAGGGTGGTAATTTTTCCAAAAGCATCCGAAAGGCATTTTATGGATTTGAATTAGGCTTCAGTCTATATTATTGTATTTATTTTCCCTTCTTTGCCAAAATATCAAAGTACTGTACGATTATTCCGTTAAAAATACATGTTGTGGATAATTCGATATTTTTCTAAGTTATCTGTTGCTAAAAAGAATGGAAAGATAGACTGCATTTTACAAAACTATTATTACTAAAGATTTTGGAATTAATAGTTCATTTAAATCTTATT